CATAAAAATCTTATCTTCCAATCTGACAAAAATTTTTCATCTTTAAAAAACAAGACAGTAATTTTCTTTTAAAGTTTGACAGCTTCTTTGAGTTACGATTGTAGAAATGACCCTTTACCACTGTAACGATTTACTGTTTTATGTAAAAAAGTAGTTTTCTTGGTTTTATTGATAATCATAAAATTCTGTACCGATTTTGTCCACAGCTGGGGAGATATTCGATCCATTCAGATAGCTGTTTATCATTATCTCTCCTCTGTGAAAAGAAGGACTATATCAGAATCCCTACTTTATTATCCTCATAAAAACTATTTGTTTTCAAACTTTGTAAGTTTAGTACCCCTCAACACGTGAAGTTTCAAACTTAAGCTTAAAATGTTTGTAGTTAACACATGCATGTAAGAAGTGATAAACCCAATCATAATCTGACATATCTGTCTGATTTATTCTCAAAAAATCACATTTTTTATTGTCCACATATTTTAACAATTTTTAACAGTACATCGACTTGTATGACCTGTAATTTTCTCCTCAGGTGTTTTATCAGATGCCTACCTCAAAACCATTCACTTCATTGTCCAACAAAATTAAAACGCTGTCAAAATTTATTAGCTTCAAAATATAGGTACCCACAAAAATGTGTACTTTTAAGTTCAATAACCAATGAAAATTTTACTTTGTTACAATAAATGTAAAAATAAGTTTGAATTCTTCAGATGTAGTGTCAATGTTGTCTTGATGACCATTATAATGAAGCGATAAGTAAGCTGAAAAAATAAAAAGGATAATATGGGGTCAACTTTCTTGAAACAGCTCTAAAAATAACATAAGTTGTCCATGGACATCTCTTACCCCATGGTCATTTTATTATCATAAATAAAAACATGAAGTATAAAGAAGTTTGTAAATAATCATAAATGTCTTCTGACTCTATAGTCATACTATAAACTAGAGGCCCAAAGTGTGCCTATCCCCTCCATCAGGTAACAATGTGTTATAAAAAGAATAAAGTGCATTGAGCATCCATGATTATTACATTAAACTTATAACATAAACAGTCAATGGTGAAAATATTATCATTCATTCTTTTTTTTAAATTAAACTGTTGTATGCTGAATCCAAAAAGTAAACAAAATTGAACAATGTGTAAATTTGACTGTATATAGAATTAAAAGTAGCTAATTACAAAGGAAAGGAATCATTCAGAAAGTACAAACCTTTACAATGATTGAGGTCAAGTTGCTTCAAAATATCTTATAAAAATAATGAGATGTGGTATGTAAGATTGCCAATGGCAAAACTATCCATATAACACCAAAGCAAAAGATGTGAACAATTACATATTTATTTTAGCACACTTTTCAGAGCACATTCCAATATCAGTTCAAATGACTGGTGACTTTCTGTAATGGGAGTATTTCATACTGGGACCTTTGCTGAACTAACAAAGACAAAAACACATTTGTTTGTATTATTGTTGCACTAAATTTCTATTATTTTTTAAAAGATAAGTTATTTTAAATGTCTTTACCTTATTGTACTCAAAAAAACTATTTGTTTTCAAATTTTGTATGTTTAATACCCCCAAAAGTTTTTAACTTAAGCAGTTATATATTTCTTCCACTTATCAAGAATATGTATAAAACATTTATCAAAAGACATTAAACAAGCAACAATCAATCAATCTTAGTAATTCAACTTGATGAATTAAAGGATCATTCTTATACATGCTGTCAAATACACATAGTCTTCAACCCAGATCGAAAACAGAAATGGTTAAAAGCTGCTGTGACATTCAAGACAAACTATGAAGAAATTTAAGTGTAAAATTTGTACAGCAGTGATGTCAAAAAAGAAGATACACTGAAATCTTGAAATTATTTATCACCTTTTTTAAAGGTGCATTTTAGAATATTTGGACTTTAAATATTTAATAGTTCATAGTGTCTTTTAAATTGTAGTACACATGTAAATAACTTGTTCAAAGAGAGACAACTCCAGAGTAATTCAAGTATAAAACTATTTTTTAACAATTGTTTCACTATCAACATTATCATAAGCTACATTTCTTGACATAAAATTTCTAAGAAAAACAAGTAAAAAGCAGGTACTGCAAACGGATGCTTCCCAAACTGCAAATTTCAGGTAAATATATTTTTATCCAAGGGTTCAAAGAACAAGTATACTTGGAGTGACAACCATGCATCTTCATTGCTAATTTATCAACAGTATAAATATGTTACAATTCATAGTGGAATTCATCCAGAAACCAACGGTCAACAGTCAAAGGTTCCTAAAACTTTTAGTAAGAAGAACCTTTGACCTTTTGACCTCAAAATCAATAGGCCTTTATCATCCATCTGTATACATTTCATTTCAACCCAGTAAGGAATATTCACTTCGTTATCTGGAAACCATATGTTTGGGACACACAGACTGACGGAAAGATGGATGGACAAAGTGATTACTATATGCTCCAAAATTTTCACTGGGGAGCATAAAAATTTCCAAACTCTTAGTCTATTTGATCAGATAATGTAAAGCCAACATGTTTGTTTCAGACTTAACACTCGTTTACTTGTGTGAATAGAGACCAGTTTGATGCAGTGCTCTGGATCAGGAGGCATCATGGTTTAACCTTGCTCATTCGCTAATTCTCATTTTAAAACTAAAAAGTTAAGACTATTTCGATAGCTGTGTTTCTTGTTTTTTACATAATATCGTCTCTTTTGAAAACAGAATAATATCAAGCAGTACCCAGTCAGTACAACATGTTAGATTTTGACTGGTTCCTTTATTTACCAGACAATTGATAAGTCACATGCAGAATGGGTAAGTATGTTCTGATAATGGATAACATTGTTTTTGAAAGTTTAAATTAGTGTTTTTTTTTCATCACATAAGGTTAGATAAACTTTTATTCGCTACCATTGCTTGAATACTATTAAAGATGCTTCTTTAAAAAACATTTAGCATTATATAAGTCTGTTGTCTACTAGACATGTCCAAAATAAATTGGCTTATTACAGGCCAGAAAAATCTTCAGACTTTGTAAATCAAAAACCAAATAAAAAGAAAGTGAGAGTTGTCAAAGAACATGTGTCACCTGCCTTCTCTAAATAGAATAAGCACAAGTACTATCCTGTTCAAGGTTATTATTTAATCTAAGTTATCCCCCTTTGTATGATTTCTCTACATTTTTTTTAAATAACATTTTCATGATATTGCTCACTAATTATATCCCCTTGTCTAAGTTACTGAGGAAAATGGGACTAAAACGTATTAAAGACAGATGTACACAGGGAGGAACAGAGACAAATTAAACCAGTAAACCCCTCTGCTGTAACTAAGGTTAATTTATATATCTATTAAAGGAGATAAAACTGGTTCCATAAGTTTAATATTTGGTTGGATTATTATCATTAATATAATGGCACATTATAATTTAAATCAAACCAAAAACTACAATATAAAATACCCCTGCATTTCAAAGTTTAGTTATAATTATTTCTGCTGTTCTGCACTTATATTACTTCACCTCATCACTTGGTAATTAGTTTAATAAGCAGTATAAGAGGTTCAAATGTAATTCTTGAAGATAAAAAGATATTGCAATTGACACTTTTAAGCTATCTAAGAAGCATGCCTAGTTTGGACATTAGCAATAAATGATTGATTGATGATTGATTGATTATTGCTTAATGTCATCTCAGCACAAAATCTGCAATAAAAATGTTGCATTTTCTTGAAATAGTTTGCAAAAAAGTTTATATAAAATATTATTTCTCAACCTTATCATTTTTCTTCCTTTAAATCAGAGTTGTCTTCTGGATTACTCACTTCCCTCTGAAACAACAACCATAACATTTTTCTTCCTTTTAACCAGACTCATCTTCCTGATTACTCACCTCCCTCTGAAACCACAACCATTTCATCTCTTCCTTTGAATCAAGAGTTATCTTCCCTGTTACTCACTTCCCTCTGAAACCACAACCTTAATATTTCTTTCTTTAAAACAGAGTTATCTTCCCTATTACTCCTCTCCCTCTGAAACCTCAACCATATCAATTTACTTCCTTTAAATCAGATTAATCTTCCTTGTTACTCACCTCCCTCTGAAACCACAACCATATCAATTTTCTACCTTAAAATCAGATTAATCTTCCTTGTTACTCACCTCCCTCTGAAACCACAACCATTTCATTTCTTCCTTTTAATCAGAGTTATCTTCCCTGTTACTCACTTCCCTCTGAAACCATAACCTTATCATTTTTCTTCCTTTAATTAGAGTTGTCATCCCTATTACTCACTTCCCTCTGAAACCTCAACCATATCATTTTTCTTCCTTTAAACCAGACTTATCTTCCTTATTTCTCACCTCCCTCTGAAACTACAACCATCATGACCATATCAATTTTCTACCTTTAAATCAGATTTATCTTCCCTGTGACTCACTTCCCTCTGAAACCACAACCTGATCATTTTTCTTCCCTTAAATCAGAGTTGTCTTCCTGATTACTCACTTCCCTCTGAAACCTCAACCATATCAATTCTCTACCTTTAAATCAGAATTATCTTCCTTGTTACTCACCTCCCTCTGAAACCACAACCATATCAATTTTCTTCCTTAAAATCAGAGTTATCTTCCCTGCTACTCACCTCTCTCTGAAACCACAACAATATCTATTACCCTCCTTTAAAGCAGAGTTGTCTTCCTTGTTACTCACCTCCCTCTGAAACCACAACCATATCAATTTTCTTCCTTAAAATCAGAGTTATCTTCCCTGCTACTCACCTCTCTCTGAAACCACAACAATATCTATTACCCTCCTTTAAAGCAGAGTTGTCTTCCTTGTAACTCACCTCCCTCTGAAACCACAACCAGATCAATTTTCTTCCTTAAAATCAGAGTTATCTTCCCTGCTACTCACCTCTCTATGAAACCACAGCCATATCTTTTACCTTCCTTTAAATCAAGAGTTATCTTCCTTGTTACTCACCTCTTGTTCTTGAATAACAGAATCTGGGGAGACCGATCTTTTTCCATGGCTAAACCCGTTAACCTCTTCTGTCACAGTTGCCATGGTAACACAGTGGTTTAATCACCTTGCTTTAATCTTCACCATAGTTGCTGTAAAAAAAAAATCATAAACAATTCTTATGGCTGAACTTCTAAAACATAATAGAAATAAAATGTTATATTGCATTTTATAGTAATAACAGTGAAAAAAGGATTATTGTGGAATCTAAACTAGAACATTGTTATGACTACAACAGAGGTAAATTAACTTTGGACTCAGTGTATTCCACTTTATTTTGGAATATGCTTTAATCCACATTTTGACCTTTCTTGTCGACTGCCGCAAGAATTAATTTCAGAGTTTCCTAAATTTGATGATGTATATATTCTTATAAGAGAAGATCATATTTTTGTAATACTTGTCTTTATTTTTCTTCAAAGAAAGTTGCAAAAATCAAGTGCTAATGAAAGTCAGTTGGTTCACGGTATTAATAATATTCTCAATGTAAAATGGTTAAACAACTGATTTTTTTCAAATGATTAAGGATTTGTTTTGCTGAGATAGCTGAATTAGACATACTTGATTCACAAATTATCTCTTCCAAAAATATGTCTGCACAGCACTAGTGTACCATTTTAAGTCAATATTTTTGTTAATATAAACCCATTAAAAAAAATTTATTTAAAATTAGTTTTATTTTATTGTATTTACCGTGGATTGCCTCCCTTACAATACTATGGAAAAAGACTCAAGTATACAAACAAAGCAAAAAAAAACATTGTTCGTTAGAGCCTGAATCACTCATCTGACAAAAAATGTGCCCTACTGATATCTTTTTATAAATCAGGATAATTAAATTTACTCTTAGTTCAGACTATATTTTATTGATAATAAATATTTGTTTTATCAATTTTGCAACAAGTTTCTTTCTTTTCAGTATTTTATCAAGACAAAAGTTCATACAAATATATTTGAAGGGCAATAACTCCAATACGGAACTGTCTGACAATTTAGATGGATGTTTAGTAGATTATTCTTTTTTATAATTCCAAGCATTCAACATTAAAGATCTCAACATCAAGTTTACAGCTATCAGATATTTTCTAACTTCTACAGTTTAAAATACTAGAACTGTGAGTAAACTCACAAAAGTATACCCCCACCCAACAACACTGTAAATTCAGAAATTATTGCTAGGTTTTTATTATTGCGAATAATGCAACTGGATGAGTATCACAATAAGAACTCTTAATCTGAAATCTGACACATACATATTTTGCAGCTTTTCCTATAATCACAATAATTATTCTCAAATTTTGGCTATCATGTCAAAATCCCAATAATAAATGCATGCAATAATTTATGAATTTACGGTACTACTTAAGTATTTAGTATATATTTAAATTAATAGTGACTAAGTCTATAATAAACAGCTGCGCCATGAGCGCATAATACGCCCGTCGTCTTGTGTGTGAATTTTTATGCAATAATCATAAATAGTTTCTGACATACGGCGTGACATGCGAAAACCCCCCTTTTTTTTTTACAAAAAACTCAATATCTCTAAAATAAAATTTTGAATCAAAACCAAAAAGTATACAGATCTTTAGATTTATATAACTAAAAAGTGTGTAAAATTTTAAGCAATAATCATAAATCGTTTTTGAGATACGGCGCGACATGTGAAAAACCCCTCCCCCTTTTTTTACAAAATACTCAATAACTCAAAAATAAAATTTTGAATCATCACCAAAAAGTATACAGATCTTAAGGTTAATATAAGTAAGAAGTGTGTAAAGTTTTAAGCAATAATCATAAACTGTTTTTGAGATACGGTGCGACATGTGAAAAACCCCTCCCCCTTTTTTAACAAAATACTCAATAACTCTAAAATAAAATTTTGAATCATCACCAAAAAGTATACAGATCTTAAGATTAATATAACTAAGAAGTGTGTAAAGTTTTAAGCAATAATCATAAATTGTTTGTGAGATACGGCGCGACATGTGAAAAAAAACACACACCTGTTTTAGTTACTAAGTCTCGTAACTCAAAAAGTTTTAATCTTATTTTCACCAAAAAGTATACAGATCGTTTGACCATCATAAGAAACAACTATGTTAAGTTTCATGAAATTTGGATAAGTCATTCTCAAGTTAGGGTGCGACATGTTTACGCCGGACAGACAGACGGACAGACAGACGGACAGACGGACGGACACCCGACATTTGTATACCATAATACGTCCCGTGACGGGCATATAAAAACAAGCATGCGAGAGTATTGCATGACAATACATAGTCCCCTACCGGTTAAGAATTCATTGTACTGGGACAAAATGCTAACTTGATCTATAACTTGTCATGGTGTAAGCTATATCACAAATATCAAGTCAATATCTTCAAGCATGATGAAAAAAAAATGTGGAAAACTGATTATTTGAGTGAATTTTCTAAGTCCAAGGACCATAACTCTGCACAAAATCATCAGACCGGAACAAAATTCGAACTTGATCTGTAACTTGTCATAATAAAACTATATACCAATTATTAAATCAATATCTTCAATTATGACAAAAAAAAGTGTGGAAAACTGATTATTTGAGTGAATTTTTTAAGTACAAGGACCATAACTATGCACAAAATCATCAGAGCGGAACATAATTCGAACTTGATCTGTAACTTGTCATGATAAAACTAAATACCAAATTTCAAACCAATATCTTCAAGCATGAAGAAAAAAAGTGTGGAAATCTGATTTGCCAGACTGACTGACAGACAGACAGACAGACAGAGTGCAAACTTAAATCCCCTTCGACTTCGTCGGTAGGGACTAATAACAAAAAAGGAAATGTAAAAATGTTATTTTACAGTCTTCTAGAAGACAATTAAAAGTCCCCTTCAACATGTAACACAGAGATATTATTCCTGTATGCACATCCTCAGATAGTTCCCTACAACTGTGTTAAGTTTCATCAATAACTACATCCCTACAACTGTGTTAAGTTTCATCAATAACTACATCCCTACAACTGTGTTAAATTTCATCAATAACTACATCCCTACAACTGTGTTAAGTTTCATCAATAACTACATCCCTATAACTGTGTAAAGTTTCATCAATAACTACATCCCTACAACTGTGTTAAGTTTCATCAATAACTACATCCCTACAACTGTGTTAAGTTTCATCAATAACTACATCCCTACAACTGTGTTAAGTTTCATCAATAACTACATCCCTACAACTGTGTTAAGTTTCATCAATAACTACAAAGATGTTTTGGAGTAGTTGCACTTTCGAGAGATTATTGCAACATCTTGCAATATTAAAATAAAAAAGTTTGGTTTTCTTGGTGGGAACAAGATTATATTCTTTTAAGCACATTTTTAGGTAGTTTTTTACAATTGTGAAAAGTGATATCAATATTCTTCACGCTGTTTAGGAGAAGCTGAGCTTACAAAAGACATATTGAAGTAGGTAAATTTTATTATCTCTCTTTTAACTTGATAGAATTTTACTCCTTCTTGCTCATCCTCATGTTGTGTTCTACCACTGTGTAAAGTTTCATCAATAATTGTATATAACAGGCAGTTAGGAGGAGAGAATATTACCACATATTACAATACTGAAGTAAGTAAATTTGATTACTTCCCCTTTAACATGCAAGACAGTGATTTCATTGCTTTATGTACATCTCCAGGTAATGTTTGACAACCTTGTAAAGTTTCACCAATATCCCTTTAGCTATTTAGGAGGAGTTGCACTGTTAGACAGATGGACAGACAGGACGGTTGACAGGGTGATTCCATTATACCCCTGAAAACTTTGATTGAAGGGTGTAAAATACTATTTATAGTCATGGTTGGTGTGTTTGTTGATAGACCAGAATATATTTTACAAACTAAAATTAAATCACACTTAGCATCATTCATGTCTAGTTTGCTTTAAATTGGTTCTGCAGTTTCATAGGGGAAGACATTAGAATCCTTATTGCAAATATCGGTTAAAAAGGTTATTCAAGGGTAATAACTCCAAAAACAGTCCATTGAGAGTTTATGTTGTGCAACTTATATTTAATCTTGCCTTGATGATCATTTTTGGTGTCTACAGTTCCTACACAAAACACTAAAACTGGTTAAAACAAGAGTGCACAAGCTGAAATGTCTCACCTGCTTTACTTATCATGATTGAATTTATGTTGAAAGTGTGTAATTTGAAGGTTTTACTATAAGTTTCAAATAAAATTAACATTATCAATGATCAATTTAAATGAGGTCAAGGTCAGATAAATCCAGACAGACATGTGCATCTTACAATCATACCATACACCAAATATAGTTAACCTATTGCTTATGGTATCCGAGAAACAGACCTTATTAGGGAAATTGAATATTGAACAATAAACCATGAAAATGAGGTCAAAGTCAAATGAATCATGCCAGACAGACATGAACATCATATAATAATTCCATACACCAAATTTCATTGACCTACTGCTAACATTATCTGAAAAACAAACATAACCATGAAAACTTTACACTGACTAATGAGCTATGAAAACTAGGTCAAGGTCAGATGAACCTTTCCAGACAGACATTTACACCTAACAATCATTCCGTACTCCAAACATAGTTGACCTTTTACTTATAATATTTGTTAACAGAAAAAAACCATGTAAACTTAACCTTGATCATTGATCCATGAAATGAGGTCGAGGTCAGGTGAACCCTGTCTGATGGGAGATGTAGACCTTGCAAAGAACCCATATACCAAATACAGTCATACTACAACTCATAAGTAAGAAATTAACATGACAAAAAAAGAATAAATTTTATGCCCCCGCTGTAGGCGACGGGGGCATCAAGTGTTACCTTAACTGTCTGTCCTTCTGTCCGTCCGTCCCTTTTTCATTGCAAAGCTTGTGCGAGGGCATTCGTGTCCTCAAACACATTCTTCTTTTATTTTTCAAGCAGTCACTCAACCATGAAAATAAGGTTAAGGACAATAGACATATGACAGATGGAAACTTAGTAACATTAGGCATATACATACAAGGTATGAAGCATCCAGGTCTTCTACCTTCTGACATAATAAGTTTTACATTCTTTATGTGCCTGTCCCAAGTCAGGAGCCTGTAGTTCAGTGGTTGTCGTTGGTTCATTGTCTGTCATATTTGTTTTTCATAATTTTGTTTTGTTGTAAATTTGGCCTTTTATAGCCGACTATACGGTATGGGTTTTTCTCATTGTTGAAGGCTGTATGGTTGCCTATAATTGCTTACATCCACTTCATTTGAACTTTAGTGGATAGTTGTCTCATTGGCAATCATACCACATCTCCTTATTTTTATATTTAAACAAATAGTGTATGCCATCACAGCCGCTGCCGGATAGTAATCCCTGTCTCCCATTCTGCAACTTTCGTTACAGGCCAGATAAAAATAATCATCCATATAAGGAGTCAATACTGTTTCACTTTTTTAGCATTTTTTTTGTACATCTTTGCTGTTTACAATTTCTAACTTTCTACTAAGTTTTTGTAAGTTGATAAACAGAAACGCTTAAATTGGTATATAATAGTCATTTATGGTGAATAACTCCTGTATAATCAATCAATTGACAATTTGTGGTGGGAACAATAAACCAAAATTTACACTAGATAAAATTACCAACCCTAAGGTTCATGCAGGCAAGTTCCCCCCCCCCCCCCTTTCCCACCCCAAACCCAAATTTCACCTTACATATATATGAGGGTTATTTACTAAAGCAATGCAGACTATTATCTAGGAACTTCTGCATATGATAGGAAAAGTACTTGGCCTGTCAACCACATTAATTTATCTTTGAAATAATTACTTATGATTAATCCTTTTCTCTTTTCTTCAAATGAAATTTTCTAATTTATTTTTCAGAGATGAGAATATACATCCTATCGCATGAAATTTGTTTTTTAATCTTTTTTAAAAGATACCAACTTTTTTCATCAACAAGTTGTTTCTCTCAAACTTTATCAGAGTTGCCTGACAAGAAACAGAGGTGATAAAAGATCCATTGCTACTTTATCTTTAAAGTGTTTTTACTTGTCAGTCACTCTTCATTTTTTTTCGCAAAGTAGATTTAGTAACATTGCGAACAAAGGAAATAATTTCTGGAATTTCTATATTTAACTGTACTGTACAGCAATTCATTGTATTTATAGGTCTATTTTGTGTACTTAAATATAAATATGCAATCTTGTACAAAATGTATTTTTGTCAAATTTTGTTAGAGGTTGGATTTGAATACCTCTATGAATATGAGTAAAAATATCAAGGTTTTCTAATCCAATGAACCGGAAGGCAAACTTATTTAAGGTTACTAAACTAAGAAATATTGATGATGTTGCAGAAATGAATTGTACTATAAAAGTGAATTGTACTGGTGAAATAGGCCATAAGTAAATACTTAATAAAAAGTCATTTGTGTGAAATGTAGGATTGTTAGTGGTTATCTTGGCTGTAGGTTTGTTAGTGGTTATCTTGGCTGTAGGTTTGTTAGTGGTTATCTTGGCTGTGTAGGTTTGTTAGTGGTTATATTGGCTGTAGGTTTGTTAGTAGTTATCTTGGCTGTGTAGGTTTGTAAGTGGTTATCTTGGCTGTAGGTTTGTTAGTGGTTATCTTGGCTGAAGGATTGTTAGTGGTTATCTTGGCTGTGTAGGTTTGTTAGTGGTTATCTTGGCTGTAGGTTTGTTAGTGGTTATATTGGCTGTAGGTTTGTTAGTGGTTATCTTGGCTGTGTAGGTTTGTTAGTGGTTATCTTGGCTGTAGGTTTGTTAGTGGTTATCTTGGCTGAAGGATTGTTAGTGGTTATCTTGGCTGTGTAGGTTTGTTAGTGGTTATCTTGGCTGTAGGTTTGTTAGTGGTTATCTTGGCTGTGTAGGTTTGTTAGTGGTTATCTTGGCTGTGTAGGTTTGTTAGGGGTTATCTTGGCTGTAGGTTTGTTAGTGGTTATCTTGGCTGTAGGTTTGTTAGTGGTTATCTTGGCTGTAGGATTGTTAGTGGTTATCTTGGCTGTAGGTTTGTTAGTGGTTATCTTGGCTGTAGGTTTGTAAGTAGTTATCTTGGCTGTAGGTTTGTTAGTGGTTATCTTGGCTGTAGGTTTGTTAGTGGTTATCTTGACTGTAGGTTTGTTAGTGGTTATCTTGGCTGTAGGTTTGTTAGTGGTTATCTTGGCTGTGTAGGTTTGTTAGGGGTTATCTTTGCTGTAGGTTTGTTAGTGGTTATCTTGGCTGTAGGTTTGTTAGTGGTTATCTTGGCTGTAGGATTGTTAGTGGTTATCTTGGCTGTGTAGGTTTGTTAGTGGTTATCTTGGCTGAAGGTTTGTTAGTGGTTATCTTGGCTGTGTAGGTTTGTTAGGGGTTATCTTGGCTGTAGATTTGTTAGTGGTTATCTTGGCTGTAGGATTGTTAGTGGTTATATTGGCTGTGTAGGTTTGTTAGTGGTTATCTTGGCTGTAGGTTTGTTAGTGGTTATCTTGGCTGTGTAGGTTTGTTAGGGGTTATCTTGGCTGTAGGTTTGTTAGTGGTTATCTTGGCTGTAGGTTTGTTAGTGGTTATCTTGGCTGTAGGTTTGTTAGTGGTTATCTTGGCTGTGTAGGTTTGTTAGTAGTTATCTTGGCTGTAGGTTTGTTAGTGGTTATCTTGGCTGTAGGTTTGTTAGTGGTTATCTTGGCTGTGTAGGTTTGTTAGGGGTTATCTTGGCTGTAGGTTTGTTAGTGGTTATCTTGGCTGTAGGTTTGTTAGTGGTTATCTTGGCTGTAGGTTTGTTAGTGGTTATCTTGGCTGTAGGTTTGTTAGTGGTTATCTTGGCTGTAGGTTTGTTAGTGGTTATCTTGGCTGTGTAGGTTTGTTAGTGGTTATCTTGGCTGTAGGTTTGTTAATGGTTATCTTGGCTGTAGGTTTGTTAGTGGTTATCTTGGCTGTGTAGGTTTGTTAGTGGTTATCTTGGCTGTAGGTTTGTTAGTGGTTATCTTGGCTGTGTATGTTTGTTAGGGGTTATCTTGGCTGTAGGTTTGTTAGTGGTTATCTTTGCTGTAGGTTTGTTAATGGTTATCTTGGCTGTAGGTTTGTTAGTGGTTATCTTGGCTGTGTAGGTTTGTTAGTAGATATCTTGGCTGTAGGTTTGTTAGTGGTTATCTTGGCTGTGTAGGTTTGTTAGTGGTTATCTTGACTGTAGGTTTGTTAGTGGTTATCTTGGCTGTAGGGTTGTTAGTGGTTATCTTGGCTGTAGGTTTGTTAGTGGTTATCTTGGCTGTAGGTTTGTTAGTGGTTATCTTGGCTGTAGGTTTGTTAGTGGTTATCTTGGCTGTAGGTTTGTTAGTGGTTATCTTGGCTGTGTAGGTTTGTTAGTGGTTATCTTGGCTGTGTAGGTTTGTTAGTGGTTATCTTGGCTGTAGGTTTGTTAGTGGTTATCTTGGCTGTGCAGCTTTTCAATTGTGTGTTTTACTTTACACACATGAAACTGGATCCCCCCCCCCCCCCCCCCCCATTTTGTTTGTGATTGTACCAATTCAAATTATCTGGACCATGTGTTGTTTGTTGTTAGCTGTCTATTTAAGAGTCTTTATAGTGACTAAATATGATGCTGGTGGCTGCAGTTGTTTAATCTCCTTAATATATTATTGACATTGATAACAATAAAATGCTTATTCTGGTATGGTTTTTATAGTTCTTTTTTTTAACAGCTTTTTTTGGTTACTACATTGATGTTGAAGGACAGGGTTGAGTATTAATACACTTGTGATTTTCAAATTAACTCTACCAAGTAAAAAATCTTGTCCTTGGTTGTCATGTTCTTAAGGATTTTTATTATTGGGAATTTGTTGATCATGTTTGATATTTGTTTTCTCTGTTGAATCTCTGAAACGTTTGCTATATTTAGAGATTCAAAACTTTTATACAGTGCAAGCACTTGTCCTTCCTTGAAGGCTGTATTGTAATGTCGAGATTTCTATTTTGGTAATATAAGTCGTCCACTTGCTGTCTCATTGAAATTTAAAAATCATATCTCCCATATATGTATGTGAGAATCCAACTTGTTTGCAAAACTTAACCAAAATAATTAAAGTTTGAAATATAAGTCCTACATGTGCTAATATATATGTTGTTAAACATTGTTATACTATACAAGAAAACTTTAAAGGTGAAATATCATTGATATATTACCATATATAGGTTTTTTGAAAATATAGCTTAAAGATAGATTTTGATCAAAAAACTTTTTAAGTAAATAAGACCATGGCCTAGACAATAGTAATCCCTATTGTTTTAAGTAGCTGTCAACATTACAAAAACACATATATTTCTCTGATTGCAGGACAAAACAACACAGATGTTCCTCAGATAGGATGAAGTTGCATTTTATTTTAATTTGTCAAAATTAAATCTCTTATAAAAATGCATTAAATGAAAAGAAAAAAGAAATATAATACCCAGATGAAATAGTATCTAAATCTATAAATCTACAAACTGAAATTCTAAACCTTCATTTAAACATTATTGTCATTCTTAATCTCTTTTTGAAGAATGATTTAAATATTAAATCACATTATGTTTCAAATTGTTTGAATCTGCAGTTTCTTTTTTTGTGGTCCATTTAAAATAAAATGCTCCGCAGGGCGCAGCTTGATACGACCGCAGAGGTCGAACCCTGAACAGTTGGGGCAAGTATGGACACAACATTCAAGCTTGATACAGCTCTGAATTTGGATTGTGATTAAATATTTGACACAGCATAGGTTTCTGACACAGAATGAATGTGGTCTAAGAACTTAAAAATTTTAAATTGGACATTCACCTATTATGGTCCAATATCCAAAATCTAAATACATGGTTAGATTCAGCATATCAAAGAACCCCAAGAATTCAATTTTTGATGAAATCAAACAAAGTTTAATTTTGGACCCTTTTGATCTCAATGTGGACAAAAATGATAACAGGGCCCAAAAATCAAAAATCTAAATACATGGTTAGATTCAGCATATCAAAGAACCCCATATATTCAATTTTTGTTGAAATCAAACAAAGTTTAATTTTGGACCCCGATTTGGACCAACTTGAAAACTGGGCCCATAATCAAAAATCTAAATACATGTTTAGATTCAGCATATCAAAGAACCCTAAAAATTCAATTTTTGTTAAAATCAAACTAAGTTTAATTTTGGACCCTTTGGACCTTTATGAAGACCAATTTGAAAACAGAACCAAAAATTAAGAATCTAAATACACGGTTAGATTCGGCATATCAAAGAACCCCAATAATTCAATTTTTGATGAAATCAAACAAAGTTAAATTTTGGACCCTTTGGACTTCAATGTGGACCAATTTAAAAACGGGGCCCAAAATCCAAAAACTTAATACACGGTTAGATTCAGCATATTACAGAACCCCATATATTCAATTTTTGTTGAAATCAAACAAAGTTTAATTTTGGACCCCGATTTGGACCAACTTGAAAACTGGGCCCATAATCAAAAATCTAAATACATGGTTAGATTCAGCATATCAAAGAACCCCATATATTCAATTTTTGTTGAAATCAAACAAAGTTTAATTTTGGACCCCGATTTGGACCAACTTGAAAACTGGGCCCATAATCAAAAATCTAAATACATGGTTAGATTCAGCATATCAAAGAACCCCATATATTCAATTTTTGATGAAATCAAACAAAGTTTAATTTTGGACCCTTTTGATCTCAATGTGGACAAAGTTGATAACGGGGCCCAACAATCAAAAATCTAAATACATGGTTAGATTCAGCATATCAAAGAACCCCATATATTCAATTTTTGTTGAAATCAAACAAAGTTTAATTTTGGACCCCGATTTGGACCAACTTGAAAACTGGGCCCATAATCAAAAATCTAAATACATGGTTAGATTCAGCATATCAAAGAACCCCATATATTCAATTTTTGTTGAAATCAAACAAAGTTTAATTTTGGACCCCGATTTGGACCAACTCGAAAACTGGGCCCATAATCAAAAATCTAAATACATGGTTAGATTCAGCATATCAAAGAACCCCATATATTCAATTTTTGTTGAAATCAAACTAAGTTTAATTTTGGACCCTTTGGACCTTTATGTAGACCAATTTGAAAACAGAACCAAAAATTAAGAATCTAAATACACGGTTAGATTCGGCATATCAAAGAACCCCAATAATTCAATTTTTGATGAAATCAAACAAAGTAAAATTTTGGACCCTTTGGACCTCAATGTGGACCAATTTAAAAACGGGGCCCAAAATCCAAAAACTTAATACACGGTTAGATTCAGCATATTAAAGAACCCCAAGAATTCAAGAATAAAACCCTATTGAAATTGATCAAGAAATAAGCAATTTATAGGAAGTATCTTCTTTTGCACAATACTGTGCAATTGATTATTTCTTGCTATTGCGCAATACTGTACAATTGACAATTTCTTGCTATTGCGCAATATTGTGCTATTGGATATTTCTTGCTATTGCGCAATACTGTGCAATTGAAGATTTCTTGCTATTGCGCAATACTGTGCAATTGAAGATTTCTTGCTATTGTGCAATACTGTGCAATTGAAAATTTCTTGCTATTGCACAATACTTATAATATAATAATTTACACATCCTGTTTGGTGTGTATCTCCTACCATATCATTATTATTTGCTTTTAAATATAAATCAGAAATAACCAACTTAAAATGGAAAATTTTAAAAGAAAAAAAAAAAGGAAAAAAAGAAATCCCCCCCCAAAATTTTTTGAACCCCCTTATGATTCATCACCCCAAACTCAATCTCAGCCTTCCCTTTGTGGTATGGTACCTTGCAGTACAATTTCAGAGAGATCCATACACTTGAACACAAGTTATTGTCTGGAAACTAGAAAAATGCTTATTTTTGGCCCCTTTTTGGCCCCCAATTCCTAAACGTTTCGGGCAATTACCCCCAAACTCAATTCCAGCTTTCCCTTTGTGATATGGAACCTTGTAGTACAATTTCAGAAATATCCAAGCACTTACACACAAGTTATTGTCATGAAACTAGAAAAATGCTTGTTTTTTGCCCCTTTTTTGGCCCCTAATTCCTAAAATTTTGAGGCAATTACCCCCAAAATCAATTACAGCCTTCCCTTTGTGATATGGAACCTTGTGGTACAATGTCAGAGAGATCCATACACATACACACAAGTTATTGTCTGGAAGTTACAAAAATGCTTATTTTTGGCCCCTTTTTGGCCCCTAATTCCTTAACTGTTGGTACCATAACCCCCAAAATCAATCCCAACCTTCCTTTCATGGTATTGAACCTTATGGTAAAATTTCATGGAGATCCATTCACTTAAACTAAAGTTAGAGTGCGAAAACCAATGTGTCTTCGGACGACGCCAGACGACGCCGGACGACGACGACGACGACGACGACGACGACGACGACGACGACGACGACGACGACGACGACGACGCCAACGTCATACCAATATACGACCAAAAAATTTTCAATTTTTGCGGTCGTATAAAAATTAGAAAGAGCAGTAAGTCACGGTTGTTGAAATGTAAATAATTCAAGGAATTCACTATTTAAGTGTAACATTTTCATGTTTTGTATCATAATGCATTAGGCAATATAAAAGTTTAATTTCATAAAAAGGACAAATTACTTTCAATTTAAACTAGCAAATTAGGACTTTGACTTTAGAGATAGGACCCTGAACTGAGGTAAAAATCCTTTTGGACAATCAAAAAAATAATTGATTTCAAATAAACTCACTTATGGTTAATTTATTTACTTTAAAAAGTACTAATATCTCCACTAAAAAATAAAAGATAAAATTTATTTTCCAAATACTCCTGACCCCACCCCCTGTTTACCTGAATATCAAATGGTTACCCCTTTCTTATCAAAATAATGCATATGAGAAAAATTTATCAAGTGAGTCGAATATTATGATAATTAAAAAAAAAACAATAACAGCCCATACCTTCTGCTGTGGTGTAAAAATCTGTCCATCTTACCTGGGTCATAATATATTGACCTTAGTATACTATTCCTAGATCTTACCTACTTGGGAAATAGATACTTTTGGATGTGTTTAATGAAATATTCTAATTAGTAAAAAAAAGGGCTTTAATAATACCAATTTCATGTGTTTTTCACTTAATAAAGAGACAGATATGATCTTAAAACACCTGAGCATTAACAATGAGTTCTTTTATGTCAATAACATTTTTTTATAATTTCTATTTTTATCCAATATTATCTGACTTGTTAGCAACTATGTAGTTTATATTTTTTCAGTTCATTAAGGCTTACAGAGTCAGTATTTAAGCTTACATTGTTAGTGTTTAAGCTGATGGTATTGGCATTGAAGTTTACTATGAACTTTACAGGTCCAATGTTTAAGCTCATAGTACTAGCAGGTGATAGTCAGTGTCTAAGCTGATAGTATTGGAATTGAAATTTACGGTCAATGTTAAATTATAAAGGGTAATAAC